AGCCGCGGGCCTCAGGGGGCGGGCCAAGGGTTCGTGCCTGCGGGGGGGGCTCTCTGGGCCGCGCCCCTCCCCCGCCGGCGCCGGCGCCTCCTTCGGTGCGGGCGGCGAAGTGGGCTGCACAGGCGCCGTCCTGATTGGGTGGCTGTGGGCTGGGGCGGGGCCAGGGGCCGTCGAGACTGCGGCTCGCTGGCTACGGCGCTCTTGCCGCGCCCCGCCTGCCTTGGCGCCATCTTGGGGGGGGCGGCGGAGGTTTGCCGCGCAAGCGCGTGACGGTGGCTGGCCGGCTGCCGCGGGGGGGGGTCGGGACCGGGGGCTGCCGTGGCTGCGGCGACCGTATGTTCAGTGCAGTGATTGAAGGCTGCGGAGTCTTCGCTCCTTCGCACCTTCTCCGCTAGTTAGGGGTCTGGCTGCAGAGGCTTGCCCTGATGGTGCCACCCGACTAGCGTGCGGGCTGAACTCTGACTTCAGAGCGTGGACCGTGGCTAGTGACTGCGGGGCCGTTTTATTGGCTCGGTCCACGTGTGTGGTCTGGAGAGTCGGCATCTGTTGAAGCCGGGCATTGTGCCCGAAGCTTGCCGCGGCGGCCGCCGCCACCATGGAACCACTAGTCCTGAGGGACAGGGCTGCGGGCAGTCGGCGTGCCCCTGCTTTCTCCTGGGCCGCCCTTCCCCTGTGGTTTGGGGACAGTTTGCCCCCCGGGTGTGTCTGGCCCTATCGTTTGGCTGCAGGAAGTGCTGGGAGCGCAGGAGCAGCGAGGTGTGCTGTGCAGACCCTGTCGGCGCGGCTTGGGGGGCGGGGACTGGCCTCCGCGGCCCCGCCCACTCTGGCACTATTTTCGTTGGTCGACAGGTGGCAGCCGAGACTTACTACGCAGGCGCCATCTTGAAGGCCCCCAGAGCTCCAGGGGGAGGATCCAAGGGGAGGGGCTGCAGAACTCAGCCCACTCTAGTACTGTCATTGGCCGACAGGTGGCAGCCGAGACTTACTGCGCAGGCTCCACCTTGAGTGACATTGGGGCTGGCCGCGGGGGGCGGGCCCAAGGGGAGGGG